TTTCACCATGTTGACCAGGATGGTCTCGATCTCTTGACCTCGTGATCCACCCGCCTCGGCCTCCCAAAGTGCTGGGATTACAGGCTTGAGCCACCGCGCCCAGCCACAAAATCTTAAGATAGGAGGAATGCTTTTCTTTTTTTAGATCTACTGCACGGCATGGCAAATACAGTTATTAACAGCCTATTGTACATTTCAAAATTGGTAAAAGTAAATTTCAAATATTCTTACGGCAAAATTAAGTATTTGAGGTGATGGATATGTTAATAAGCTTGATTTAATTTTTACACATTGTAGTCACAGATCATAACATCATTTTGTATTGTAAATATATGCAATTATAAACTATAAAATCTGTGACTTAAAAAAACCCACTGCAGTACTGGCATAAAGACAGACATACGGATGAATGGAATATAACAGAGAACCAAGAAATAAACTCTCATGTATATGTTGTATGTTCAAATTTGATAAAGGTGCCACGATAATTCAATAGGCAAAGAACAGTCTTTGACAAATGGTGATGGGACAACTGGAAATTTAATGCAGGAGAACAAATCTGAACACTTACCTTGCACTACTACCAAAAAAAAAAATCAAAATGGATCAAAGATCTAAATCTAAGAGTTCAAAGTATAAAACTCTTAGAAAATACAGGTGTAAATCTTTGTGAACTTGAATTAGGTAAGTTTCTTAGATGATACCAAAAGCAAAAGCAAAATACAGAAGAAAACTATCTCTGTTTGCAAATAACATTATCTCATATATAAAAAAAATCTCAGGAATGCAGGCTTGTTCAAATATGAACAAGCAGCACAAGAAAAATTAGAAAATGATCATCAAAACTAGAAAGTTTTTTTTTTTTTGTTTGAGACAAGATCTCTTACTCTGTCACCTGGGTTGGAGTGCAGCAGCACAATTATGGCTCACTGCAGCCTCATCCTCCTGGGCCCAAGCAATCCTCCCTCCCACCTCAGCTTCCTGAGTAGCTAGGATCAAAGGTGTGTGCCACCATGCCAGACTAATTTTTTTTTTTTTTTAAGACAGGGCCT